TTTTTTTTTCATTTTATAACTATGTATGTATATTATCTACAAACCAAGCTTGACAAGGGAGGACGAAAATTCGTTCCAAACTAATTATAATTATATTATATTAGATCACTTAACAATCAATTACAATTTCACTTTAAGAACTTCACTTTACCTTAAATGGAAGAGCTCGCAGAACTGCAGACAGCGAGCCACACCAATCCGACCTGTTGCTTGGAATTGATACATTTTAAAACACTTTACAATTTTTCTCTTAATATTTTTTCACTTTATCATGCACTGATTCCGGTTTTAAGTAAATTTTTCAATATTTTGCAATGGTAAGAGAGAAATTTGCATATCAAAAGATGCATTGCACTTATACCGAATGGCTGCACGCGAATTTAATTTTAAACTGTCAAATTAGTAAATAAAGCGGGCGCAAGGTGATACTGATATTTGGCACGTTAAATGCAGGGTGTTTCCGACTAAACAGGTTTTTTAATTAACATCCGGCTGAGTGAACGAGTTTCGCAATAGGTTTTTACTATTTAACGTTACTATTACGTTCGCAATTTTCAAAACTAAAATCAAAACTAATTATCTACTTTTTGCAAAAGTCCATGCTTACCATATTAACACTTTCACTTCCTCTACAGATCTACACATATCGCGGCCGCAATCATCGCATTCATCTACAACTCTGGGACACTGCCGGTCAGGAGCGTTTTCGTTCTTTGACCACTGCTTTCTATCGCGACGCCATGGGCTTTCTGCTCATCTTCGATATGACCAACGAGAAATCATTCCTTGAAATCACCAATTGGTTAGAGCAATTGCGCATGCATGCCTACTCCGAGGATCCGGATGTAGTGTTGTGTGGCAACAAATGCGATTTGGAGGCAGCGCGTGCGGTTAGTCATGAACAGGTACGAGCACTTGCCGATCGCTATGGTTTGCCCTACATCGAAACAAGCGCATGCACTGGCTTCAATATTCGACAGGCTGTGGAATTGCTGGTGGAACGCGTAATGATACGCATGGAGAATGTAGCAACTAATTCCGAACTATCGCGACTGATGACACAGACACGTTGCATGCCAAATATAGGATTCCCCGGTGGTGGGGGTGGTGGTAATGGTGGTACGGTGCGTCTTGGTTATGGCGATGCAGAACTGACTGAGGAGCAAGCGCAAGATAAAAATTGCCGGTGTTAAAAGTACGGTCATACTCTTTTAACTGATTAAACTATGCATATTTGCTGTTTGGTACAATAATATTTTAATATACTAATACCTAGTAGTTAGCTGTGTGAGTTTGTGAAAGCGACTTTTTAAAACAAAGTGGTGCCAATGTTGTTACAAATTTAAAAAAAAAGAAAATACCTATTTAATATACATACATACTTAAAAAAATGCTCAATTCTTGTAATATTCACTCAAATGTATGTTTACATTTGTACATTATTTAATGTAAAAAGCTATACTTGTTAAGATTTTAAAGAATAAATTTATTTATGTACATACATATGTATGTAAAATGTACATGCTTGTGTAGCTATCATAAAAATAAAAGTTTTACGTATTTATGTAAATAAATAAATAATTTACTTTATTTGAAGCAATTACTTAGCGCCAGTGAAACACTTAACGCTAAAATACTGATTTTTAGCCCCACTATCGTTGCAGCACTCCGGCTCTCTATCCAATTCCGGTAGTAGGTAACATTAGTATAGACACCAGGAAAACCAGGTTGCGCACAACCAGTGCCCCAAGACACAATACCGACCAGTTCGTTGTTGCATATAAGCGGACCACCCGAATCACCCTGACAAGAATCCGTGCCGCCTAGCAAGACTCCGGCACACAGCATACCTTGGAGAAGTCCACTGCCGTAGGAGACCTTACAAATAGTTTGCTGTATAATGCTCACATTGGCCATCATCAGATTTGTGGATAGGACACCCTGCATGAAGCGAGAAAATACAAGTAAATACGTACATACATATATTTCCATATACATACATACAGTGACTCAAAGAAGTGTTCACGTGTTGACCTTTTTTTTAAATATTCACAATGTTTTTCAAGTCAAATTTTTGTTGTTATTTTTTTATACAAATATTGTCGAAGCTTTACCCAAATCCATAAAAATCAAAGTTTCAAACATTAAACAAAAACTTCGAGAATATTTCTGGGTATGCAGATTTATATCCCATACAGTTATAGTCTAATGAAGTGCAAGTTTCAGCGGGCTAAAAATCTCGTTGATTCTTGCTTATATGGGAAAATATGCGAAAATCAGTTAGCACAAAAAAAATGGTAAAGATCAAGTGATTTTTCAGTCGCTGAAACTTGCACTTTATGAGACTTAAATTATATGGCCTATAAAACTGCATGCCTAAAATGTTGTAAAGATTCAGATTAAAAAGCTCAAAATTTTGATGAAAACTTGTTGAATTTTTCTAAACTTTGTATAAGGTTTGAAACTTTGAAACACAACAAAAAAAACATACTGGCTGCGTTTCTTTATACATTCCGGATAATCCCATTTCACAGCCGGAATAAACAGAATGCGTTTGAAATTTACGTCAACATATCATCAGGAACGTTCTAAAGAATAAATAAACAAAAAAGTTTATTCCAAACGTTCAGAATGAATAAAGAAATGCAGCCACTATAAAAACGATGTAAATGTTAAAAAAAAAATCAGCACGTGAACACTTGTTTGAGTCAATGTATATACATACGTAGTGCAGTCAATACAGCACTTAAGACGGAAAAAAGTCCACACAGGTTAAAAGACACATATCTTCACCATTTTTGGGAAGTTTACGCATCTGTTAGGCCTAACATATTCTCTTTATCAAGCTTATTAATTACATGATGAAATCTCCAAAAATTTAAACTACAACCGGTAATAAAAATTCGGATTTTTCTAAGTAAGGTAACCGGTACAAAAAAGCGATTTCATTATTGAAATAGCCATAACAAAAGGAATGTGCGTGATCACTTCGCTTCTCTCAAAATTGGTAGCCGGTACTAAAACCCGGGTTTTTAAAAATTGGCAATGGCCAATTAATTAATTACAAAATATTTTGTCAAATTGAGAGATAGCACACTTTCTTATTTTGATTAAAATATTTTTCTGAACAGCATGATACCATATTTATCCTGTGTGCAATTTTTTCCAAGTACACCTACAAACAGAGCCAGATTGACTGTACATACTAAATTAAAAATTCATATATGTAAATAAAAAGAACATTTGTAAATATTATTCACCTGCGAAGTTTTACCCCATCCTGAAACTTGACATTGCGTACCCGCCGGTATCGAGTAATTACTTAGCCCAATCGGCGCAACTGTTAGATGTGTTTTGTTTACTGGCAAACCAGTCTGCAGAAACATTACGCCAACATCATCACGCATAGTATCCAAACTAAAGGAGTTCATATAGGCAATCGAGCTGACGCCTGAGACAATAGTACCATTGACACGTGTGTAGCGATTCTGTGTGCCCATTACAACAATAAATTCGCTCGCCTTGCGGTAACGCTTTCTATCTGAACTGAAAGGTGATAAAAATAAATAAAGTTAGGTTTATTTTTTATGCATCTAATTTATAAATGAAACATAATTATTATTTTTTTCTAGTATACATATGTACGTATGTATGTATATATATTTACTATATACACAAATATGAAATTATTTAATTTTTCTTTATATATTTGTATTAAAATACCTTTCGATATTTTTTCTGTTTTATTTATTTTTAAATCACTCACTTGTAGAGACAATGTGCGGCTGTCAGCACTTTATTCGGTCCAATGAGCGAACCTCCGCAAATATGGCCGCTTCCGAAAACTCGATCATGTGCCTTTAGTCGTATGGAAACTTGAAATTTTGTTCTCCCCACGGGAGCCTCTACGCCATTTATAATACGCGGATCGATCTTTGCATCATTCTCTGATTTAGCTGGAAATTAATAATTAAAAATTGAATAAACTTTAAAATATTTATGCCGTGCAGCGGCTTCTACTGTAGAATGGTAGCTTTACATCAATGCAGGCATAACTGTTTTGCTGGAAATAACATTTTTTATTATAACACCAAGGTCCTTGTGTCAGGAGTGGAGTTCTAGCTTAGCTTCAGTTCCCATGGTAGAAGTTGGTTTTTGATATTTAAAAGATATATATATATTTTTTTTAAATATATTTAATTTAAAAGCATGCATTAAAAAAGAGGAAACATTTATGAAATAAAATTTTCCAAAGACAGAAATTTAAATTTTTTAAATATTTTTAAACTTATTTGTGAATTCTAGTCATTTAGCTATGGGTTATTACTGAAATAGGGATACTTAATGGAATTTTAAAATCTATATCGTTTTCCTATTTTACATGCAATGCCCCATTACTTGATTTTACTTTTTAAAAATTTTGTAAAGATGCGTTACTATTCAATATTAACTGTAAAATGCATACCCGCGAAATGATACAAAAGGCGCTACAACAACAACAACCCTCGAGAGCATGATAACTCAACGGCTGCATTGAGTCATAAAATTTATGTATACATGTGTATGTACGTACATACATATATAAGATAAAAGAATGGGAAAATTGCCATACTCATTTCAGCAATAATAATAATTGCTAATATTTTTTATTAAGGGTTTCCCCATTAGTATGTTTTGCTCATTACATATCGTCACCTGAATTCACAAAGGCCCTAAGCAACAAATTTTTTATTTTACAGAATCAAAAAACATAAAATCAATATCAAAAGCAGTTAGGGCTTTTCAAAAAGTGGCATGTAAATCCGTTGTTTTTGGTACTAACACTTCAAAATTTTTATTGATGGTGTATTTTAATACATCCTACCAAAATCTGTGAAAAAGGCAGTTTCGAAAAAAGTTGGTAAGGGCCCTTGTGAAGTAAGGTAATAATAATATGATTATATGAGAATAATAATATGATTATTCATATTCTGATTGATTGATTTTTATGTATATACTGATCGATCTTGACCCTTTTTTAATCTTAAAAATTCCGTTTGTCACACACTTTTAGTATAGCGGTATGTAAGCGGTATATCTTTCTAAGCGGAAATTAATAATGTAGTACACAAATGTTCTTCTCTCTGATTAGGATGCTTGATATTCAAAAATGTTATGGACCAAATAAATGCGTAAAAGTATTTCAGTATTCACATCACTTTTTAGGCTAAAATCGTGGCAACACATTCAAATCGCATTTCGTTACTAATTTATTCATGTTATTTAAAAGATCGCTTACATTTTCCAAAAAGAGCAAAAACCACAATGAGAACAAAAGTGCGAAAATTCATTATAAAAGCACTTAAAACCTTTAGAATTAAAATGTATTATTTTCACACAAAAGCACTATACATGAACACGCGTGAGGTGCGCTTTTCGAATGAGCAATAATAGTCAATAACTTCTCAATCGCTGTGAATGATTTCTACAATAACTTGTTATGCAGTGTTATCAGTTCCAGGCAAGGGCAGAATAAGAGTTATGATAACGATCCAACAACACCATATTTATGTATGCTTGAATGTGCTACATGGGTTGATTCATGAGTTATTGAATATGTATTGCACCACAATATAAAGAATTATTGATTTTCAAAGCGGCATAAGATTACAATAGCAAGAAAAGCGAACTTATGGCATTGGGTGCCCATCGAACGACACTTAAATGCTCGGTAATGCGAAGGAACAATTTTAATGCTTCCGTTTTTATAATCTCGTAAAATTTATTTGTATATTGTCTTTATTATAAAAGGAATATATTTTAATATTCGAGCATACAACAATGTTGCATAATTTTTGCATTGAACTACATACTAAAGTTAATTAATTTTATTGTGTATAAAAATGTGTATACAATTTTGGACGGTTTGTAGTTGTTGAAAATGTAAAAGCTGATTTTGTAAATATTCAAGGTACAAAGACAAATAATATGTAAATGTAGATATGTATATAACATTCCTTCAATTAGCTAAAAAGTAAATGAAATTAGCTATAAATCTTAGGCACTTCTTTGCTTAGAATGTGGGTACTTATGCTATTAGAAAAAAGTTATCGATTTCAAAATAAAATAAACACTGCCGTCGGTTTGTTCAGTGCATATTAAGAGAGTCTGCATAACTTGTTACGAAATACAAAAAAAAATTATCGTTTACATTTTGTGAACACATACTTAAAACTAATCGAAAGTAGTAAAATGGAATAAAAAAGTGCTTCGTAGCAAAGCACTGAATTGAAAATGCTGCTCGCTTTTTGCCCTTTTTATATGTAGCCATGCAGACTGCGTGATGTACTATGATGATGCCTTGGCGGCTGATAGCCAGGCTCTTGCATTTCCATTTGCATTACTAAATTTTTCTGTTCGCCGCGTAAATCATAAGCATAACGTGCCTCGCGATGTAAAATCAGAGCGCCTATTCCGAGAAATATAAATGACACAACAGCTACGGCATATGACCAGCCGAGTACATTAAATTTAGGATACATAAGCCAATCACGACGGTAGGCGCAGCCACCAAAAATGCATACGGCGAGAAATAGCAAAATAGCTGCAAATCAAAATGGATAATTTGAACAAACTTTTTATTCAAAATAATTTACTTACACGCGCTTGCGGTACACAAGTATGAAATGCGTATCAATAACCATTCATACTGAAGTATTCCCTTCAATGGTAAGCGTATGATAACTAAAGATAATAGAGTTAATACAGTGTAGGTCAGGAGGAAGGCTAAAGTTGCACAGGCCTGCACAGCCATGAGCCAACCTGGCAACAGGTATTCTCTAATAACATAATATTCCTAAGGAAATGAAGATGTTTATTTTATTTTTAATATGGATTAGTTTTTAGTTGGCTCTAATTTAGCGAAACTTACATGACTGAAAATATTATGGCAGCCATTGAATTGTCGCGGAAATTGGTAGTATGGATATACGAAATTCTTGAAGCAGTATTCCCATAAACCCATATTTTTGAAGCTGCTGTGTGTCTCCTCATACGACTCAATCCAGTAGGGCGAGCAAAATGACATCATGAGCAAAAAGGACGCCGCAAATATGACTACACTGGCCAGCACAACGCCATCTTAATTATATTTAATAACATATTATAAATATTTATGTATATTTTGCAACAAAATGGTGCTTCGTACGTAGCGAGCACACCACAGTCATCTGGGCAATACTCACTTGAGGCGCGTGGGTAGTCGCCTTTTTCAATACTGGTGTCCGTAGTGTCTTGCGACTGTTGCTTAAGAAAGTTGCGCATCTCGGCTGTTTAGTTTATTTGTGTTCTCTAGCTAAAATACTGAATTTTAATGCAAAAAAAACTAAATTCTAAACTTCGACAAAATTTGTTGCCAATAAACACACAAACGAACAACTCCCTATTAAAGGTGTGGACACAATGACAGCTGGAGTTGTCAAATAGAAATGTCAAAAGCAAACAGTTTTGCTAGCACTGTGTTATTGCAAATAGTAAAGCTAGAAACACAGTTCAAACGACGGGCTGTGGACCATAATTACGGGCTACGGAATATTAATGATTGAATCATATTCGTATTAATGAAACAAGCCCGATTCGAATCGAATGAAATAAAATTACAGCCGTTTTCTCTCTAATACAATTTTAATTGAAAAAGCAAGCTCGTTACCGAATGCCGTAATCTGAAAAAGAAATTTCGAATCGAACTCGATCCGATAACGGTTGCCATGATTCGGGCCCTGTTGAGTTGGAAATTTTGTTTTTTTTATGTAAATTCTATGTAATATAATAGATCTCACAAAAATGTCCATTGACAAGTTTTTTCGGCTCATATAAATATAGCGCCAATAAAGAAGAAGAAGAAGAAATATATATTTTTTTCAATTTCTTCGAGGATTGTATTTAATTGTTTATAAATAAAATTTTTCAAGAATAATTTGAATACTTATTATTTTTGCTCCTATTTTATTTCTACTAAATAATCTTGGAACTTTTAATATCTTAAATTAATTTCTGAAATACTTTTATTCATGTTTTCCATACTTAATAAAATAAAAATACATATTTAATAAAATAAAATAAAATTTAAAATAGAGTAGAATAAAAGAAAGATACACAAAATATAATAAAAGAATTTTGGGTTTGGCTTTTATGCAAACATTATGATAAGAAATACTGTTTGATGTTTAAAAAAGAATTGTATGAATTAAAATTTTCTAAAAAATATTTAAGGATTTCGTTTTCTTCCTCAATCCTTCAAATGAAAGCAATTTTGAAATATATATAAATAAATATATACTTTGTTTCTACATTCGAAATCAGATTTTTTTCAATACCCTAACTATAAAAACATGTACAGCTTAGATAAAAACTATTGCAGTTGTACTAAGATTTTAACTTAGTCTCCTTCGACGCAAATATACCATCGATTTCATCGACATGGTGATGCTCCAGATGCTTCATATAGGCTAAAAAGCAAGTCCACATTAAACTACAGACACTGATGAAAGGCACACGATTCTTCTCTGGTACGACAGAAAAATTTATAATACCAACAATAGGCCAAATTGACATTGCCACCTATGGGTGCAATGAGAAATTAAATAAAATACTTATTATAATTTTTTGTATTCTCTTACCTTGTAGGTGGGTATGAACTTTTTGCGCACCTCCGCCGCCGCTTCACCCACCGTCTTCATTTCCAGCAGGCTCATTATGAAATAAAAACATGTCATGGCAGCGGGTGTGTAGGAAATCTGTTCGACAGCAGTTTTGAAAATAGCAGTCTGTAGTGAGGTTTGTGGCCACATGGCACTGGATACCTTGATCCAACTGTACAGCGTTGGCGCAACGAACAGACCACCATAGAGGCTAAAACGTAGCGTACGCCACCAATCGTAATCGGCTGAAGTGAAATAAGTAAATATAAAAAATTAGGAAAATCAATTAAAATGGAAAAAATACAAAAAAAAAATTAAATTAAAATAAATAAATAAAATAAAATGAAATAAAATAAAATAAAATAAAACAAAATAAAATAAAATAAAATAAAATAAAATA